TGTAGTTATAATATGCGCGTGCCTTGCAAAGAAACACAAACTCGGTGATTACGCTCTAAAAATTCTATATTCCTTTACACTCTGCTCTGCATCGATTATGAGGCGTGGTCGCTTCAAAGCAGTGCTATCAAACCTTAACCTTAAACAGAATGAAATGTGTTTTGTTTTTTTTCACAGCCAGCCTGGCCATAATCATTGACGTAACTAGAATTTTTTTAGGGGCGAATCAGGTCACTTAGCTTTACTAACAGCGTCAAATATTTAAGTTCTAAGATTTCAGAATTCTGAATTTTTCGAGATTCTGAAATTTTAGAATCTTAAAATTTCAGAATACTCTCGGGCCCTCCACCTAGTTACGCCAATGGCCATAACCTTCTGCTCGAACTAACACTTTTCTCCTGAAGAAAATTTGTGCAAATTTTATCCGAGTGTACGCTAAGTTGAATAATTAATAGCGTGTGATACTTTGTTCAATGGTGCGTGAGAAACGGTAGTGTAATTGATAAAAAGGGAGCAGAAGAGTTAGGCTACGGCACTCCGGAGGCTGCTTGGATAATTACTACCGGTCTCTAACGAACAGACGAAACCTTTCACGAGCAAGTGCGATGATTGCAAGATTAAAACAAAAAAAGAGAGAGAAAAAAAAAATAATAATAATTTCAGCAAGAAGGAAGCACCTGCGCTGCCTAAAATGGAGATACGCGAAATGATGTGTCGATGCCGTTAGCATGCCACACAGCTTCTCTACAACTTACGTTGTTGTGCGGTCACGAGAACAGCCAGTTACAAAGCAAAACCAGACGTCGTTCTTGATTACAACATTCGCAAAGCAGGGATGGACTGATCAGATCAGACGACAGCTTATTATCCTGAAATAGTGGAAAAAATTGTTCTTTCACCTATTCGTAAATAACGCTAAACGAATTTATATCTATTATAGCGGATAATTAAGAATCGCCTTTTTATTAAGTACACTCAAGCGAAAATAATTACAATTTTTTTGCAACGTCTTCCAATACCAGGGTGCAACTGAGCAAACAGCTGATGCGTGATTTTCTAGGTCACCTAATATTTCTAATTGTTTATTCAAAGCCATTTGATTCCTTTTATTGGTTAATTAGATGCACGCTTTGTGCTCATTCTTAAGTTTCATTCATACTTCTGCACGTTTTGCTTCCTACACGTATTTCAACATTTATTTTAAACAGCACCAGGGCATTACAGCATCGTGGTTACCTCTATGCACAGAACGCAACTATTACATAAGCAATCTAATAAGAGAAATAATGCAGTGCTATCAGCGTGAAGTACGTTTTATCTCGCTCGTCGTATATATTCAAGAAAATTTAATATTCTTAGTATGAGAAATTTGCATAAGGTATTCCATGGACTCGTTAGCGTCCTAGATGTAATGGCGCTAAGAAACCTAAACGTGTAAAAAAGCAATGTCCATATTGAATGAAATCATTCCAATATTCAAAAAATCAGCCACTCGACAACGCGAATCGAAGAAGTAAAATAAGCTCGATCCCATGTACAGTACCGAGTAAAGTAGACCTAATTATTTTAGAAAAGTTAATATAATTTTTAACTTTAAAAAGTATTAATCATAAAATGCCGAGTAGTAGGGCCTTTTCCCCTAGGGAAGCCTACCATGCTCGGTACTGTACAATTCCTCGTTTCTCTTTATTCCTCCTATTATGCTTTACTTCCCTCCCCGCTACCAGTTCTACTTTCTGCTCATCCTTCATCGTATTTCCCCTTCAATACTTCCCTATAACTAACCAATTGTTAATTCCCTGCGAATAGAACCAACCCAACATTTTTTTTTTTTAATTAATTACACGTAAGCGATGCTTGCTTTAAAGAAAAACACAGTAAGAGAAAGTGTAAAAGAAGAAGAAAAGGAGGAGCGTGAGGCGAGTTTAATACATTTTGTTTCATTTTATTCCCCGATATTTAAAACGAACTAACCTAATTAAACGTGCTCGTTAATCAATTTCAATTAGGATTGCATTATAAGACTACTTTTACAGTTAGTTTTATTAGATGACGCATATGGTGCGTCGCTGTTCTAAAATAGATATGTTAATCAACCTTTATTAATTCAGATGCGTTCATGCATACAAATTATTTGAAGAAGCGTTCATTCAACATCACACCTTACATAAGTACAAACAATACATGTGCGGAAGTACAAATTGAAGATATTCTAAAATAAATAATTGCCGCGCGATTCCTATCAACAGAAGAAAAATTTGTATTTACGTTCATTCCATCTTTTGTTCAAAGAGTAGCATGGTCAAGAGACGGTTAATGACAGTTCTCAGTCTGAGAAAGGAATCTTATATTTTACTCGAGCCTACAAACGAGAAAATATTCAAGCAGCCTCCTCGAGGTAGAAGGGGAAAGGTTCAAACACGTTTGCTAGTTACAAGTAACTCCACTTTCTAGCTTTACTCTTTGCTACGTCGATTCTGCAGTGTAAAAACATCCAAGATTATATTACATTTTACATCGGCTTTTTTTTATCTTTCTTTCCGTAAACATTCGTGTGATTTCCGTATTTTTGAAGCGGTTTATCAAACGGGATTCCTGTGATTATTTTTTGTGCTCGCGACAAGTAAAAAAAAAAATGAACACGATATAAATAATTCTGTGCGGAAAAAAATAGTGAGAGTATAGTTTTGTAAAATATTAAATAATTCGCAAACAGAGCTTCAGAAATGAACGCGTGCGCAGCCCTGTGGGGAAGTTTAGAATCACGTTCTAATATATATTTTTTCTTTCCGAATCATTCTTTATATATAACTGTTCATCTATCAAATATGAACGCTACTCTTCGGCGTGTAGATTTTTTTTGAAATTTTTCATCGATACGATGAAGAAAATGCATTTGACTTACCGCTAATGCGCCTCATGGCGACTCACGGGCACAGGTCGTATCCAAAAATCGACGAGCTGGTCAATCCAGCGAGGTATGTAAATCTTCCAACTCGTCGTAAACACCATGCCATATGTATGTAGAAACACCGATCATCACCTACGCCATGCACACACCGATTTCAGAACGCGAGCTTCCCGCGCCATTGCCTACTGATGAGGCTTTTCTCGAACAAAGAAGATAACCTGACCCTTCCGCACTGTCTCTTCCTATTACGTTAATACTTGCACCGAAAAAGTTGTTTCACAAATAAAGGACATACTGTTTGACACGATTACAATGTTCTTCTTCTTTATATAAACGATTAGTACACTCTGATTATACGTAATAATTTTAGACGTATTTGAAGACGAATGAGAAACGGCGACCAAACAGGGTATAAACTACTCCATCACGACTTCTCACGTAGCACTGTCGTGTTGTAGTATCCAATGCCACCGCTAGAGCGCTCAACCGATCGGTAATGATAAATCTCCTCCATGTATGGATTTAGGTCTCGGGATTCAATTGAGTCTTGCTTTCTTCATTTATTAGTCAATCGTATATTCATTCACGCTTTTCTTTTATCGATATGATGTATACATTGCGTTCCGTTGACAAACACTTGAAATTAAATTGTACCTTAAATAGAGATAAACACGCATAAAGTTTAGAAATACATACTTACATACGTACGCAACTTTTTCAAGAAAAAAATCTTTAAAAAAATCGTAATGTACAATTACACTAGAAGTATGTACTATTTTACATAATTGTAAAGTGATATTAAAATTACAAAAATACGATAATTTCAATAATAATTAATAATGCCAGTATTTAAAGAGCTTGGCATTTAACAACAGTTTAAATTTTGTTGTAAAAGGCAAATACTAAAAGTTTCAAAGTTTGTATTATTTGCACTGAAACGCGTTTAAAAACTTTGTAATACCAATTATCTTGTTGCTCTACATATATAAAAGCTGATGTAGAAACAACAGAATAATAGACTTAATTATCATCAATTACCTTACACTGTAAAGCTTACAACATTTTTATTTTAGACTGTTAAATATTGTTAAATCCATTGAATACAATGTATTAAGAAATAATACTCTTATTCGTTATTATATACACTTCTTATTGTTTTTTAACCTATTTTCGTTAAATTTATATCTAACCTATAAAATAAACATATTTCACTCATAAAGTATTTCACTGTCATTTTTCTGACAGTAAAGAAATAGAAAGAAACACCACGTGCTTTACGAGATTCCGTTGTAAAGAAGTCAATGAGCTGTCGACGTACACTTGTAGTATTGGCAAAGTACTATGGGAGGCTTTAGAATAAGCGCTGTCGAAGTTGGTAATAGGGTGACGCTGTACGGGGTTACCATGGTAACCGACTATAGGCTTTTTCAATCTTCCCCCTTCTTCATTCCTTTTCTCGTTTACTTCTCCCTTTTTTCCTCCTGTATCTTTAATACTATAACATAATGTCATTAACATTGCTTCACACATTACATATATGTTTTTGTACTGTTTTGTTTTAATGAAATAAAAAGAAGAAAATTGATTAATATTGTACTTTTTAGATCAGATTACTTTTGTTTATTCTGTATACCGATCAATACAAAATAATTGTAATTCTAAATTCATTACAATTTCTATGTCTATAAAATGAATTTTGCCGTATTCACAGAATGGAATGATGAATCAACAATTCAAAAAGTTTTTCACACGTTATATTCATACATACATTCTTTTTTAAAAAACGTACGATACAGCGGACTATACAAATACAAAGTACAAAATAGTAAAAAAAAAGGATATAATTAAAAATTATCACTTTGGTCGCTCTGAGTTGATCAAATGTTGTTTAAATAAAAAATCTTACAATTAGAAATCACAACATGGTAAAAAAACCTAAAATCAAATATATTTTACAAAAAAAAACTTATAAATTAACAATTTTCAAATTAGACTTGTATAAATATTTTAAATATTTATCAATCACCTCGCTTTGTAACTACTAAACAGGAATAATGAATTATTCATACTTAAAAGCATTTTTTTTTCATTTTCATCATCTTCATTTAATTATTAAAATTCTGAATACTGGAATTAGATTGCTACACACATTAAACTGTGTATACAGATTCCATTACGATATGGAAGCATCAAACATTTACGTACATTATATAATTACGTACAATATTATTATTATTATTATAATAATTATTATTATAATATAGTATATGATATACTATATGTCATACATTTATATAATAACAGAAGAAAGCAAAGTCATGTACCGTGTTGAGAAAAGTAAATGCTACCGTTTTTTCTTCATGCCTTTGCGATATCCTTTACCGAACCAACCAGGATTTTTAGGCGCTATCGGAGTATCCGCATGAATCACCAACGTCTTTCCATCCTTCATCTCAGGTGCTATTAAACGAGAATTATCTGTATCTCGTTGATAATAAAGGCAAGTAAGCGATCCTTCGTTCTCCATACAGAAGGTGCAAGTTGGTTTTGGTTTTGGTTTTGAGATATCTGAGGTCACATTAGGTACTTGTACAAATGGATAATAAAAAAGTGGCGTCAACTGAGGACACATATACATTGGCGGCAATGGTAAACCCATAGACAAGAATGGTAATGCAGCAAAAAATGGTGCCGAATACGTAGGCATTGGTTCAGTTACATTTTCAGGTGAAGGACAATCTTCCTCTTTGGTTTCTGGTACAATTTCTTCATGAAAATTCGCATCGATTTGATCTATTTCCTCGTGAACAATATTTGATGGTTCTGACAAACAGGGCTGACTTTTTGTGTGTTGCTCGGTGCTTCTGAGTCGTACAGCATGAAAAAAAATTGGATCTTTGATCCGATCATACGGTGGTATTTGTAATCCAAGATGAACCATGACTCTTTTCATGACTTCGTCACATTTGCCGTTTATTTTTAAAGCTGCATTTTCATCTTTCGGAGTCCATTGCAGATTTACAATATACAGTGATGGACGTTTGTGAACCGGTCTATCCATTTGCCACAACCATGGATATTTCTTTAACACCTTTAAACTAGAACCTAAACATAATATAACGTCCGCTTGCTTCGCTGCTCTTGTCGCACCGGTCCAATTAATTGGCCAAGGAAGGTTGCCTCTTTCACCAAAATGAACAATTGAATCTTGCAAAACGGAATTACATCTGTGACATGATCTTCCAGTACCATGGGAGTAGCGACCTGTTTTCTCAGTAACATCAAATAATCTCCAATATTCCCTATAAGGTTTACACGTTCTACAAACTTCTATATACATATTGCCATGAACTTCAGATAAAAGCGTGCGGGGTATCCCGCTTCGTAAATGAAGTCCATCACAATTTTGAGAAACTACGTGTTTTAAAACTCTTGCCTTGTATAAAGCATAGAGCGCCATATGGGTCACTGTGGGTTCTGCTTGACTAAGATCATGATTCCTGTAAGCAAATGACAAATTAATGTAAGTATTTTTTAATAGTATCGAAGGAGATAATTACCCAATGTCTTTTCCTTGTTGTAACCGAGTCCACACACCATTGGTTCCTCTGTAATCTGGAATTGAAGCAGCTGTACTGATACCAGCACCAGTATAAACAGCAAGCGACGTTGCTCTGCTAATTGCTGCAGCTAATCTTATGCACTTTTCTTCTAATATTTCTGGCGCATCTTCTACTTCCTCCAATCTTGCTTTTACTCTATGTCTTTTCTCTTGTCTAAAAAAACAATTTAATATTATCCACTACAGAATTTATTATTAAAACTTACATTGAAAACTTGTAATGATCAATGTCAACACTTTATACTGTAATAACTTGATATGATTACAAGTGTACAATCAATGATTTCCAAAATGGCTATACCTTAAATTAACCTCTTTCACAACGTCACTACAGGACACTAGTATTCCTGTTTCTTCAGCAGTTCTGTCTGTCTCAGACTTTTGCAGAATTGCTGCTACCTAAAAGGTGCAAGAATATAATATCTTTGCAATTGTTTACAGTACATCCATCTTAAGAATAATGCCGGGAGATATATATATAAATTTTTGAAGAAAATTACTACTGAATTAATGTAATTAAAGAGGGTATATTAAAAATATGTTGATGTACTTTTTTAAAAGTTGCCACTCGCTCGTCTTTGACTTTAAAAGCCTTCAGAGCAGCTGAACGTCTTCTTGACAGAAACTTCTCTCTACCAGCTTCCTCCATGTTTAATCTAACGACCAGCTTAGTACTGTATCACCTAAAATACATCCATATTATAAATAAAAATATCATAGTTGTTTGTAATAGACATTTTCAATATAATTGTACTGTAACATTCTATATTATTATCAAATGAATTGTATATTATATTTCCTGTACATACATAAGAATCAAGAAGATTTGATTTGTTAATAACATTCTACCTTAAACACATTACACTTATAATAATATTAATAGTGATAATATTAAATAAATATATTTCCAATTCATTAATAATTTGTTTTTTTGACAATTATTCTTCCAAATTTTTTCCCGCCATTTCCAAATTTAAATGTTATCTATACATTTGTGTTTTCTATTGTCGGTGTAAATCGACAACTCTGGACAAAATAGTGATTATATTTTTAATTTAGATTTTATTTGTTAATACAGAAAATATATGTTTATGATTTTTATTACAAATTTCTTAATTACGATTGAAATAAATCAAGTATCAATGGTAAGGTATTAGCGCGAACGGTGTCGATAATTAGTCATGCCAGGTTTAGAAGAAAGTATTTCACGCGATACTAGTTCACGCATGCACAGCCTAATGTCCGATGGAATCGCTTCCGAACAAGTAAAAAAGTTTCTATTTACTTCTCGGAAAAATCAGGATAACATACAGTGCAACGAAAGTTTGGAGATTTACATTCCAGAGGTAATAAAGTATAATATACCTTTGAATCAATAAATTATAATATTGTTTATTTTTGGTTATGTACTTTTTTTTAGAAACACTTTTTACCAAAAATATAAGTTAAAATTTTTTCTTTGAAATAAATGAAATTACATTTATTGTACAGATAGATAGAGCAAATAGCTTCTCTTAATTTTGTTACAGTTACTGCAAGCTAATTATAGTTTCTATACATGGCCTTCTGCACCAGTGTTAGCTTGGTTTCTCTGGGAACATAAAGAAGAGCTCATTGGAAAAAGAGTTTTGGAGCTTGGATCAGGCACAGCTCTCCCTGGAATTTTAGCCAGCAAATGTGGTGCCAATGTTATTTTAAGCGACTCTGCTAGTTTTCCTAGAAGTCTGCAACACATAAGAAGAAGTTGTGAATTGAATGGTATTTTATCTCAGGTTCAAATAATTGGTATTACATGGGGATTATTTTTATCTAGCTTATTTTCCATTGGGCCGTTAGATTTAATTCTTGGATCTGATTGTTTTTATGAACCAACATTGTTTGAGGACATAGTTGTTACAGTAGCATTTTTATTAGAAAAAAATCCAAATGCAAAATTTCTTTGTACCTACCAGGAAAGAAGCGCAGATTGGTCTATAGAACATTTATTAAATAAATGGAATCTTACATGTACTCATATATCACTGACTGGTTTAGGTACAGATTCTGATATAAATATACACGATTTAATGCAAGATCACACTATCCATTTATTAAGTATACAACGTGCGACTTAAGAGACTTTTGTCATGTTTGCTAGATACTTCATTCACGTGCGTAATATTCCTTGGACTGTTTCTCACTTTGACCTTGAAAAACATTTTGCAACATTCGGTAAAGTGAAACATGCAAGAGTACTGTTTAACAAATTCGGCCTCAGTACAGGCCAGGGATTCGTAGAATTTGATACTGAAGTAGCGATGCAACACGCGCTTAACAAGACCCACATTTTAGAAGATGAAGAATTGATTCTTAAAAAAACTGATCAACGTCCAGTAGAAAGTGATACCACAGAAATTAATAATGATGAAAACAATTTTATAGACGAAAAGTTTTAAAACTATACTATTATTCCGAAATATTTAACGATCAAGTACATTTTGTGTGATAAAAAATGAGTCGCGAAAAGTTGTTTGATAAAGCAGCCCAACATTTACAATCACTGGCATCAGAATTAAATCCCACGGAACTCTTGAAATTTTATGCTTTGTATAAGCAAGCTACAGTCGGACCTTGTAATATCTCAAAACCTAATTGGTATCAGGTAGAAGCTAGACAAAAATGGGAAGCATGGAAGAATCTGAATGACATGAGTCAAGATGTTGCTATGAATAAATATGTACAAGAATTAAGCAAGTTAGACCCTAATTGGGAAGAAGATACAAAATCTGAGTCAAATAGTTGGGTTGCTGTTAGTCGCTTAATAAATACAGAGGAAGAAATTAATGATATAGATAAAACGTTTTTGGATTGGGTGAAAGAGGGACACGAAGAGAAAGTACAAGAACTGTTAGATAAGGAACCAAGGCTTGTAAATGCAATGGACACGGAAGGTCTGTTACCGATACATTGGGCTGCGGATCGGGGTTACGTTAGGATTATAGAGCAATTAGTTAAAAAAGGGGCAGATGTAAATTGTCAAGATGAAGATGGGCAATCGCCTCTGCATTATGCAGCATCCTGTGGACATATTGATGTTGTAAAATATTTACTTTCGGTTGGTGCTCAACCTATGAAAGATAACAGTGGTATGACGCCCAAAGACATTGCTGATGAACAGTTGAAACACATATTTAAATATTAGTACATGTAATCATTCAATATTGTATTTCTATTGTACTAGTTAAATTTATTAATAAATTGAATCAATGATTTTCTAATGGAAATCATGATACTTTATACAAGAACGTTACTTTACAAATGTTTATTTATATACAAGTAAATCCTCTAACAGTTTTCATTACATTCACAGCCTAAGCACTCCTTAGGTAAATGCACGATTTATCAAAAAAAGTCACTTTTTTAATCTTACATAACAATACGATACTTATTGCAAAACATAAATAATACGTTTCTTTTTTAACAACCAGAAAATATGTTTAAATATAAAACATAAAAAGTTTTTCATTTTCTTAATAGTAACAAGAAGTACTTGTTACAATTTCCAATTATTCTTTTTTTTAGCAAGAATAAATATTTTTTACATTTTTCATTTTCTTATAATTAATGTGTAGTCATAATCAATTGCACATAAATTACTAAAGAAATAATGTATAAATGTACAGATAACTCAAGTAAACCATACTACAATAAAGGAAATTTTTTTAAATTGTTTTTTTAGTTAACTAGTTTAAATGCTTGATGATAAAAAGTATTATATTCAAATCCGCACAAGCGCGAGAAAATGTTTAAATTTAAAATAGTAATTAAGAAAGAACTAAAAGCGTCGACATAAATGCAAAAAATTTGCAACTAATTAGACACTGAGGAAAACATAAAAAGTTGTGCTTCTCGAATTTCTCAGTGATTAAAAATCCTATTATGTAGTTTAATAACTATTTTTTATAAAAATATACTTACAACATAGCTGCATGTGTAAGCAGCAATGAAAAGTCTTTTCTTTGCAATTATATTCATTAAATAAATAGGCAATCAAATTTAGATCATCAAGCAATCAATTACAAGTATCTATGTAGGACGATTCCATCATTTCCCTTAAGTAATATAATTTATTTAGACTGTCCGGTTATGTATAGTATAGTATAGTATTATGTATCTGTACATAATAAAAATAAAAACAAAAATACGGATTTTTTTCTTCTGTACAAACGTCTCAGTGTGTTTAATAGTTTATTTGTAGCGTATTACTTACCATCTAAACTTGAAATATAAAAAAACTTGATAAGCCTTGAGAAAAATTGTTAAGCTTTTAGAGAAAGGAATAATATTATTTAGATGGTAAGTAGTATACTAAACGCAATTTTGGAATACTGACAATTATTTAACCCAAATAAAATATAGCTTTGTTACTTATAATGGTTTTTAAGTAATTTAATATAAAATGAGTTCACTAAATTGTAATTTAAACATTAACAAATAACTTCATGTAAAAAGGCAAATATACCTCTTTTAGTCCTTGTATTAAAATAACTGTTTATACTATAAAGTTAAATATCAAAATTAGATACAACTTCTGAAATGTATAACTAGAAAGGGTTAGAGTTTTTAAAATGAAAATTGTAAATTCGTTTCTTAATCTAAAATTTACACAATTTAAAATTTTCGAAAACTTAATCCAAACTTTCCTTATCAATTCAAGATGCAACCTTTAAACGATTCATTTAGCATTGAAATAAAAACACTTATGCTATCAGAAATTTTATACAATAATTTTTCAATTTCGTATTGTCTTGTAAGAAATATAGTTTTCATTATCTTTGAAGATATCTCTTATAAACATAATAATTACTTATCGTACGATCAGTCCTAAAGATTAGTACTTTCTTGTTCTGATTTAACTCGCGTGGTGGGTGGAGGTGGCGGCGGAGGTTGCGGCCGCGGAGGCCTTTGATGAAATCTCGGAGAAGCTGGAACTGGTTGTTGCGGTGACTTAAGAACTACCACCGTCTCAGTCTGTGTTGGTACATCAATAATATTCCCTTCCGATCTGGTACGCACGTGAGCTTTCGTTTGTTCCGGAGCGTTCAACTTCGCTGGCTTCTCTGGTCGTTCGCCGTACAAGGACATTGAGGAAGGTCGGCTACCTACACTGGGGCTTCTCTGTAAGTTCGAAGCCGCGTTGCCATTGTTGTTCCCCGTTGTGCAGAACACATTGCCATTTCCACGCACTTGTATTATACTGACCTGTTGTTTGTCCACTGAATACACATGAGCTCTTTCCAAAGTTAAAGGCTATAGATTATTAAGAAAGGAAACAAACATTAATATCTCTCTGAATAATTTCTTGTACAATTTTAACATCTTAAAAACAAGAGAAATTTGTTAACGTATGTATCTTTCACTTCATTTATAGCTTACGTTATTGTATTTCAAAATGCAATATCCAGGCAGAGATATTTGTTGAATCCATTGGCAGTAACTACATTTATTTTAAAGAATTATCTTGCATATAATACTGAAAATAAATATAGTGCCTAGAATCTTTTAATACTCACCCCTGTTTCAGTGTCTAAGTTTTCGTTACTGTGACGTGGTGGTTTGATTAGACTCGATGGACGGATTAATCCAACGGGTCGTTCTGGAATTGCTGGTTTACTGCTTCTGTCTGGTGCGCTCCCAGACATGGAATTACTCTCTGGCTTTTTACGCAACTCTATTATTTCTTTAATAAATTAAATACATTAAGAATTTTGTACTACTTTGATCAATATAAATAAAAATATTTACCTGTGTTATGTACTATGTTGTTTATACTCCTTGGCGCAGCCACTGGCCTTCGTCTTTCCAAAGTAGAAGGATGAGGTTTTTCTGGTGGTATTTTTATTCCATGTGTAGAAGTTTCTAAATTCTCAACTTCCACAAATGATTTGTTACTTGGTGCACTGTCTGCGGTACTTAACTTTTCGGTTTCTTGATTATTTTTCTCTGTTTCTGTATCCACAGAACGTATTTCATTTTGTATTTCATTAATATGTTCTGAGCAAGTAAGTAATGGAGAATCCATAGCATTCATTTCAATATTTTGCTGTTTGGTTTCAGTTTCTGGATTTCCATCTTGTTTCTCTGCATTATTTTCTATGATTAATGGTTCTGGTTTTTGGACCTTACACGTTAAAGGTCTGGGTGGTTTATCAGGTGTAGGTGGTGGTTTGTCATCAGGTTTTTTATCATGCTTATCTGGTGTGGTGTTATTCGGTGGAGTTGGAGCTGGTTTATTTTTTCTACGAACTGCTGGCTTGGGACTACCCTGAGGAGGGCTTTCGCCATGATCGCTAAGACTACTATTAGAAATGCAACGACGCATATTTGTGGTTTGATTTTCTGAACCATTCATAATACCAAGTTCCAAGTCTCGGTCAAAATCAACTTCCCCAGGAAAAAACCAATCCGCATATGTAATCAATTGATCAACTATAAGACTAGAATTATTAGCTGTACTCATATTCATTCTGGAATAGTAAATATTACATAAATAATAAATAATAGACAGATCTAGCTTAGAAGAATAGGTTCTTACACCATTGTATTCACATCCTCCTGCGGGCTCCAAATTAAATTAGGTGCAATAACAATCGCAATATTTTGTGGGGACATTTTGTTTACATCTTGGTTTTTAGTAAGTACAGCCAAAAATTTTATTAGGAACCTTAAATTTTCTAGATTTGCTGGGGGTAATTTATGCAATACATCCCAGAGAGCTCTCAATCTTGCTTCATTATTTGTTATTTTTGCAGCTGCCATCCATTCAGAATATAACCTTTGAAAAATTATCAATAGTAAACGTTATCATTATTAATAGTAGACAGTATGAGAAAATACTGTTCTTGTATTTACTTGTGAGTTAAAAGGGGTTCAGGAAGTTCTCGTAGGTAAGATTTTAGTGCACCAGCAATCACATGAGGATCCTTATACTCCAATGCAGTTGGTAGCGTAAGACAACAGGCATCCAGACTTAACTTAATACGTCGCGATTTTGATGAAGCACCAGCTATTCTAAAAAGACCCTCTTCCTCCATACCTAATCGCAATAATGCAGACACGCATAATTGAATAGGTAGCGCTATTTTTCTATTAGTTACTCTGAGGTGTTCTTCAAGTGGGTAACCATAAACTGGTTTCATTTCATTATCATCTGTAATCATAAAGCGGGACTACATTCAACAGACATTTCCATTACAATAAATTATTGTAATTTTTGAAAAAGACCTTTTCTAAGATTCTGGTAAGTCAAATACTTACTAATGTAACTTTCTAACCCAGGAATAAGCTCCTCAAGACAATGCAGTGCACTTTCATGATAAGCTCTTTGAAGTTTCACATACTGAATGATAGTATTTGCTAATTCGGTTTCTCGCGACATGAGCTTAAACATTTCAGCAGCCAAATGATCCCTGCATTGTTCAACCTTAGCTTCAGCTCCCTCCAATTCTTCTCTTAGACTATCTATTTTTGTCGCGCCAGTACCTTTAAAACGAAAATACTGCTCAAGGAACCTGTATGTAATTCAACTTTGAAAACATTGAATTAAAATATTTTATTACTGGCACTATGTTTGCTGGCCTGTTGGTATCTGGTTCTCATACTGTCCATGTCTAAGATTAATCGAGCTAAATTTTTCTTATGTTTTAATATATTTGGTACAGCTGTGTCTAAGATATGTTGCAGAGGTATTGCAACATACTGTTCAACTTTTGCTTCATGTTCAATTATTTCATTTGCTAAACATGTCTGAGCACGGCCACACTCCTGAAGTGTGAAACTCATGAGACCATCTTCTGGAGCATTTTCCAACATTGTTTGTCCTAATATGTATTCCGGACATTTTTTCTGAAAGATATATATTAGAAAATTGAAAATGTGTAATTATTAAGAGATAAAGAAATTATATTGTAGGTGGATATGTTACCAGTCGCTTTTCTTTAACTGTAGAATCTTGAGTTATTGTTTGATTCGGTATGTTACCAAATCTTTTGTTTAATCCAATCAGGGCTATTCTAATTTGTTCTACATGTTTGTCTGCAGCTTGTAAATCGTCTGTGAGGACTTCTGTTTTACCAGCTCTGTAAAAAACAAGTTCATTAGTATAATAAATTTTCACTTGTTAATAAATTAAGATTAAAATTAACAAAATATAGAGTTTTTACAAGATATTTTGGTTTGTTGTTATTATATAGAGCTGTGTTCAAATTCGTATTTTTAAAATTATGACTAGTCTTTATAATTTTATTATTAAATACTAAAATTTGCACAAATCTAAATGCAAAATAGTTACCTGGAAAAGGTTTGATCAGCGAGCTGTTTGACTCTAAAGAATTGTTTCTTCATGATTGATAAGCATTTAATTTGTATTACATAAATAAAATTAAATTTTTATTTAGCGAATTACTCATATAATCACTTGTCACTGGCTAACTTAATGATATTCATGAACACACATTTTAATAGGCTCATACAGCACTAAAAATATATAAACGATAGAAAAAAAAAGTTCTTCGTGTTATTCCAAATGCAGCAATTCGTCATATTGCTTGAACAATGATCTCACGTTATCTAAGAACAGATAGCTCGTTCTGAATCTGTAATATCAATGAGTTTCCACTCTTGAAGTACGTTTGAATACTCAATACTCTTAAGTTTGTAAACGTGTCAAAACTTCATAAATAGTCATTGCGGCATTTTGTATTCCTATTAGCCATTGGTTATTGAACACCAACGAGAAACTCAGTTCAGACTTATATGACGCATTATTTCTTATTACTTCAATTATTTAGTAATTTTGTATATTTAAGCAATTTGTAAGCTTGTGTCGGAGTGTATGATAACGGAACAACCACAACTTTTTACTGGCCGCAGTCGGCCATTGTCATTTCTGCATAAGATTCCGCTTGCAGCGATAGATCTTAAGAGTGGGAAATTTTAAATCATTATGTACTTTACAATAACAACACAGTATTAATATTCATTAATAACATTAAACAATAAGAAGTTATTCTATGTTATTTATTTCAATTGTAATTAATAAAATATATAAAATAAATATTATGTAATAAAATCTAGAATTGTATACAGTATTTTTATTAACGAAAAACAATTTTAATGTGACGTATACATTCATAAATTTTTGTTCAATTTTGTTAGTCTGATGAATATGATTACTCATTATTAAACAAAAAAAATATATATTCACGGTCCGAATTTAGTATAAAATATATCGATACATCGACATCCCCACTATTGCAACGTGTCATATCGCTGATAACTATTTGAGACAACTTCAAAGCATTCGGTGAAGGCACGTTGGGTTTGTTTTTCACCCGTTTCGTGATGAAAACCAGAGCATAACGTGTGCGCAAACAGTTCACAGCACTTTTTTTCTTTTGTGTTTTATTTGAAATATCTTAACGCGTTCATCATGACGTTCAATAGAAATTTTATAAATGTGATGGTATTGAGTTGGGGTTTTATGTTGGTGTTTACAGCATTTCAAACAATGGGCAATATTGAAGTGAGTAATCACTTGATTTTGTTTTGACTTTTTTAATATTTAATGCTTTTGCATACAGTAAATGTGTTATTATTAACTAACACAATGACAGCCTTAAAAATATGTTGCTTTTTGTGAATTTATTGTGACGTTTATTTTATATACAGAACTTGCCTACTTTTTATGTATAAATGCACCTATAGTGAAAGTACAAAAACTTTTTCCTTGGTTATTTAACTCGCGCATATGTAACGGTTTAAATGACTAAACGACTAGCCTTGCATTCTAAGCACCTGGTCGCTTTCCTCCTAAACTTGATATGAGTCAATTGAAACTATAGAACAGTTGTTAGTTAATCGCGAAATTGTAGAGAGATTTTAATAAACAAATTATTTACATACAGACATTCAAAAAAAGTGTATCAAATTTCTCTTTTTAAAAAATCAGTGATGTTTATATAGCTCTGACCTTGAAAATGTTTCGTAGAAAAAAGATGTCGCCTGCTCAGTTATGATTTTAAAATAAACTAAAATTTTTAATTTTAATTAGATTTCAAATTTAATCTGCTTTCCATGTATTTTTTCACATGATTGATGCACTCTATTTTTTTTTAATTAGTTAATTTCCATAATAAAAATCGAAGACTAAACATATACAAAAAAAAAGTATTTGCCGTAAATAAATAACTCGTTTAAATTTGCCGCGTCACAAGTACTCTGCAAAATACTCTGAACATAGGCATGTACAAAAATGTAACTTTATTCATTTTTCTCGAATTTTAAATTTAATTAAAATTTGAAATTAATTCTGATCTTATGCATACAGCTGTAAATTTATAAATCATAAATATCATTTAATATTATAATGAAGTATTAATTTGTGTATATATCATCAAAATACATTATTTCATTTATATAAAACTATTTAAAATAATATTATTTATCCTCATGTACTTTGTATTTTTTTATCATATAGTTAAGCTTATATATCTGATATTATATCTTAAGATTATATCAGGATTTATTTTACCAAAAATTGATAATAAATTTTATTGTATAAACTTGTATTAATAATATAATAAAAAATGTTAAGTATCCATTGTGACTGCTTATAAAAACTCCAGTATTATCAAGAGAAAAGCAAAATTGTAATGTAACAGGCTATAAAGCACATGGGATTCTGTACATATATGTTGTGTACACACTATATGTATGAGTTATATGTGGGTTATCAGTATTAGATTTATTCGAATACACCTGACATTTATCTTTATCTTGTAGCAAATAAATGATGTATAAAAAGTTCAATATACCTTGATTACTTTATACAATAATTTTACTGATAAAATCTCCATCATTTATGTACTGCACAAATAACCCAGTTCACTGTCAATAATTTTTCTTTTCAATCAGAACATATTAAACATTTTAAGATTTCTATTTTATTTTAACAGAATCTAAAAATTGAAACCTGATGTATTTGGTCTTGTATTATATCAGGTTTATTTTCTGTACAGAAAACCGTGCTGCAAAGTATTCAGAAGGAAAATCCAAATTTCACCGGTGAAGCCTACACTAGTTTTGCGATAATCTATGCCGTCTTGGCGACTTGCAACTGGTTAGCACCGTCGTACATCTCTATGACAGGGCCAAGAATTGCAATACTTACCGGCGCTTGCTGCTACGTCTTTTTCATAGGAACTTTCCTTTGGCCCCAAGATGCTTTACTTTACAGTGCATCAGCTATTCTCGGTCTTGGAGCGGCTTTAATATGGACAGGACACGGCCAGTATTTAACTGAGAACAGTGACTCTGAAACAATGTCCAGAAATGCAGGAATATTTTGGGCTATATTTCAAACTTCTATGTTCACTGGGAACCTCTTTGTTTATTTTATGTTTACCGAGCCTGAGATTAATGCTTCAAAGAGAAAAATTGTCTTTAGTGTTCTTACAGCGTTAGCTATCGTTGGTACATGTTTACTTGCTACTTTAAAAAAGACCTCGCGAGGATTGATACTGGGTGAAATTGAGGGTGCGAATAGAGAACTCCAAATACCAGAACCAATAAGGGAGAAACCATTGTTAGCTGCTTGGCATGCACTGACCGATGCATTTTCCCTTTTCTTTACCTCTAAAATGCTTTTGTTATCTCTGACATTTGTATATACTGGAATTGTCTTAACATTTTACTCAGGAGTTTACTCATCGAGTATTGGGTTCACTAAAGCGTTTGGTGATACGCGGAAAAGTTTAGTTGGTCTTTCTGGTATTTTCATTGGGATTGGCGAAGTGATCGGTGGAAGTCTTTTTGGTATCTTTGCATCCAAAGTATCCCGTATTTGCGGCGTATGGGCAGTGGTGCTTACAGGATTCTGCGTACATTCCTTTGCCTTTATAACTATTTTCTTGAATTTACCAAATGACGCTCCGTTTGAGGAAACTACCAGTCTAGGATACATTAATCCTTCACCGGTTTTGGCGATAGCCGGAAGTCTGGCTCTGGGTTTTGGAGATGCTTGTTACAATACACAAGTCTACTCGTTATTAGGGTTGCTTTATGCACAAAACAATGCATCTGCGTTTGCGTTATTTAAATTTTGTCAATCACTCGCGGCTGCAGTGAGCTTTGCTTACAGCAGTGTTGTTGGCCTTCATATACAACTTTTTATATTAGTGATAACAATTATTATTGGTACTATTACGTTCTGTTTTGTCGAACGTGTTGCGAGAATAGAAAAAAATAATTCGACTCCGTCGGAAGATAATTCAACATATGTTACACAGTAAATATGATGAATTTGTTTGGACATTGGCATAAGTAGGTAGGGACCAGAGTGGGCCTAGAGTCCCCAAAAACGCGAATTGGCTCTCTCTCTTCCAATATTCAACAAATTCTCAAAACCAAAATTCATCATTTCTACAATAAAATATCTGGTCTATCCTAGAAAAAATTCTATTTACGCCAATGTGGTTGGAAAACAAAAGTATCGAAATATAATGCTCAAGATAACGAATTTACTGTATTCCTTATTGAAGGGGAATATGATATTCATCTTAGAAATTGTATTTTTTAAGAAAAGGGCAATAATTAGTTAATAAGTAAATAATTAATTTTATACCGTGTATATAATAGCTCGACAAAAGAGTAATATCGATGTAATAGACGATTCCATTGTTTTAAGACTGCATGTTTATTCAGTTATGTTCATGTTTACTCAATGAAGACTTTTTAAATAATTTTAATTGCGTTGAACGCGTAGAAAGAATTTTTAATATAAAAAAAACAAGATAATCACTATAAGCATAATAAATACAGCAATTAAAAATTTATTTTTTTATTACGCATTTCTTATGGATCCTTTAACAATTTTTATGTCGTCAACGGGTCTGTCATTCTTATCGGTCTCAACTAAGCCAATTCTTTTTACTATTGCCATACCAGAGTGAATTCTACCTGTTAATGAAAAATATCCTAATAAAAATTTTCTGGATTAAATTGACAAAGTTCTCCGACAAAGAACTATAGGACGACGACAACAAGCTGTTTCCACTTTAAACGAAGAAACCGTAGATTGTACTAATTTGAAAGTCTTGACAATGACAGAAATATATTTCTATGTAAGGTGAAATTAAAAATTTCTTTCAAAAATGAAAAATGCTCTTACCAAAAATTGTGTGTTTTCCATCAAGCCATTGTGTAGGCGCTAATGTAATAAAAAACTGTGATCCGTTAGTATCAGGTCCTGAATTAGCCATAGATACTACTCCCGCACCTATATTTAAGGTTTTAAATAAAAATAAATTTTTTCACAAAAAGATGTATATGCTAAATGATTAACGATTTATTTTATACTCTTTAAACCTTTGACTTTAGTACTGAAATATACAAACCTGTATGTTTTAGATCATCGTGTATTTCATCGTCAAAACATTCTCCATAGATAGATACCCCACCTTTTCCTGTTCCCGTGGGATCACCGCCTAAAATAATAATAAAAATGATATTATTTTGTAGCGGTTTTTTAACATTTTGTATAATTAGTATTTTATAACATGTAAATAATATAAACATGCGCGACTATTGCAAGAAATATAAGGACATGATATACCCTGTATCATGAAATCTCGTATTACTCTATGAAACTTCGTTCCATTGTAATATCCACGTCGTGTAAGTTCAGCAAAATTCCTGCATGTAATTGGTACATGTTTCCAGTACAGCTCAATCATGACTTCCCCCATTCTGTAAAATGAAATGTTAATAAAACAACACCAGTAACATTGTGATATTTACGTACGTAGTTTCAAATACTACAAATGGTGGCTGCCAATGTTTATCAGGAATTCCAGATATATTCGCAAGAGCCATGATTAAGTGTGAAGATAATTTTTCCAATACTTTTTACTTGATTTTTGAACGAAATCTAAAAACAGTCCCATCAAATCCTGAAACATTTGATAATGTAATATATATGATAATGAAAATTAATTAGAAAGATAGACACTTCACTGCCTTACCTAACCTTCAATTCATTTCGACATATTCATTTTCAAACTTTTCTTTATTCCTTATTCTCCATCTATGCAAAAGCAGCGGAAACTACTCAATAAATTACTGACTTATCGACTGAATTTCTAACAGTTGGTAAGTTAACGAATAGTTTGCGCCACTTTTATATAGGTGGCGCAATGGCCGATGACTAGGGGTGTTAGGGACCCCGGTGTATATTTTCTACATCATCAACAAACGGTTATAGCATCTGCGTGCCAGTACTTAGAATATTCCACTGTTGTATCAACCGTAGAAACTTGATTTTTTCTAATTCGATAGTGTTTCACTTATTATTCACTACGTGGCTAAATATTTGAATTTAAATTTTCAACTTCTGTTATAAAAATGTTTCAAGCGAGTGATTTTACATCATACTAATTAAAAGGCAATTCTTGAAACTATCTTCTGTATTCGATCCTGAAACGAATGTTTAATATCACATTACATTGTCAATATTTTTTATCGTAATTTAAAATATTTCTAAAGTATCATATTATATTTAATATTTGCATTAAAAAATATGTTTAACAAACAATTTTCATCAAATGCTTTTACAAATTTGATTTGGAAAATGTCTGAAAATACAACATTATCTCAAATATGTTGCTTATATAACACAATGCGCAACTGTTGGCGAGAAATACAAGTTTATTACGGAAACATTGTAGAAATACATGTTCTTTATCGTATAGTATACTCGAGAACCTTGAGAAATTTTGACTTCAATGAAAACCGAAAGTTATACACAAACTTATACCCTATTAAATGATTTTCCTTTTAAGTCCATATATAAAATTGCCTTAAACTGGAAATAATTAACAGTCAACTCTATTAATCAGTCTGTTCTGCTATTCGTTTAATTCGACTGGTGATGGAAATATCGAGGCAAAATTACAAATAAGCCACGCGTCTCGATCAAAGATTTCAATCGAACCGTGAGCATCTGGATGGCTCCCAAAGGCTGCATACCAGACTCTAGTTTAGCGTGGATCCGGGGCCAGGAGTCTGTAAGAAAAGCGCAATAACCTTCGACTAGTGAGATCGTGGTGGGTGAGCTGGTAAGCTCGACAGTGGAACATTATTTTCGAAACTGTCCGTGGGAAAGGTTGGTAGTGTTTTTTCGGTATAATTGCGCAAGCGAGCGCGGGGGACAGCATGGCGCGAGGGAAGGCTTCTGTTCATGCGCGGTCCTCGGCTCGATCGGGCCGCCGCCGCCGCCGCGCCGCGGTCCGTGTGGCGGCCGGCTCGGAAATGTTGATGCTAAATAAAACTGCTAGCTGGTTGGGACGATGCCATGCGTTCTAATTTTCACGAAGGCACGGTCGCTCGTGGACGTGGTGGCCCGGGGTCTGCCGCGTCGTTGGAGGCGGATGCGATAGTCTTGCGAGGCTGTCCGGCTGTTACTTGTTCTCATCTCCACGAAAGTCGCGAGAACGAGGATCAGGGGATCGAGGAAAATCAATCGGTAGGCCGTTTTTTTCTGATCGCGAACGAGGATCGGGTTGCGGTTGATCGTAAACCAGTGCTAGCTCTGTCAGAGTTTCTTCCATGCGAACGCTCCGGTGACATGGCTTCCGCCCTTCTGGGCAAGTGTGTCGGCTTACTAGCGCTGCTACTTCTCCTCTACAGCTGTTGCTATGCCTTCAGGATCCGCGAGCACGCCGGTCAAACGGCCCTCACGTCCGCGGAGCAAACGCGTCACACCGCTTGCGCTTCCATGTTTGGCAGATGCCAGCAGAAGACGACCGCGACAACGTCGACTGCACGAAAGTGGCACGATACGTCAGCATCCTCGCGGCTCGCCACCACTCGCAAACCACCTGTCGAGGTGACGTCGACCCACGATGACCACGATGACGACGATGACGACGATACAGGGACAGAGGGGGTACGCTCGAGGGTGGAAAGAACCGGACGTGCGACCGATCGGCTCGCCGGTGATTCCGCGGGAAACGGCGCTCGAGTCGATGACCAGGATGATGATGAAGAGGAGGAGGTGATTGTGGAGGTGGAGGAAGACACTGACGAGGATGTCGCGAGCGATGAACAAGTAGCAGAGGATTCTGATGTGATGATGATGATGATGATGATGATGATGATGAAGACGAAGATGAAGACGAAGATGATGAAGACGAAGACGAAGATGAAGAAGAAATAGCCCCTACTCCTCCACCGAGGAAACTAGAGAAAGTCAGACACGCGGACAAAGATAAGATTAAGTCTGCAGAAACCGTACCACCAGCCCCTGTTTTAGAGAAACCGAAGGTTCGAAGCAAAGAATCATCCGAGACAGCAAAGAAACCCGAAGAAACCGCAAAGAAACCTGAAGAACCAGCAAAGAAACCTAAAGAATCAGTAAAGAAACCTGAAGAACCAGCAAAGAAACCTGACAGCCCGAAAATATCAATCGAAATCCCGAAGAAAGTCGAATCCGCCAAGATAACGAAACCTGAAGCCGAATCAAAAGCTAAGACAACGAAGCAGTCGGAGGAAAAGGCGAAGGTTCCTGTAAAATCGGTGCCGAAAGCACAAGAACCAGCAAAGAAAGAAGAAGAAGGAAAAGTGAAAAGCGTAACGACTAAACCCGCGGGAGTTAAACGATCCGATAGTGAGTATTGTGATCACGAAATTTGTTAATTTTTTTTTAACGAGATTAAAGTATGCGTATGTTTGTAGAAGATGAGTCAAAATCAAAAACGAAAACGCGGGTGCAAGCACCTCTTACCTTGGCTCAATTGAACGATGCGATTCTACGAGTGCCGACCTTCCTGCCAAATTTCACGGGCATCGAAGATTTCGAGTGTCAGCAGCACGGCAAGATCTTCCTGCGACAGTTAAGGGGTTATAAATTATGGGCCCTGCAAAGTAAGTGCTAAGCTTTCGTTAGGTTCGATTAGATTAGGAAACTTATGCCAGAATCTTAATTTTTAACAATTTCCGCACGTCAGTGTTAGATTCGAGTGCAAAAATCCCATCGGGATTGTTGAGGGGAAACGTCAACCAGCTTGGAGATTTTGACGAGTGTTTGGGGATAATGGCACACGTGAAATTGGACGACAAGACCATAAAGGTGCAGGGCAAATATTGTTTGGCCAGTATAGATTTGTACCCGGCTCGTCCGGACATGAAGCTTCCGGTTAATATGATGCAGGCTCGTGCTTTTGTACGAGGAAGCATGCATGACGTAAGCGTATAATTTTATTTCAATTTTCATTTTCCGAACGATTACTCTTTTTTCATTTAAAACCCTTTTAAATATTCAGTGACATTTCCTTTAGATAGTACTAGTATCACTGATAGTAGTGGCGATACTTGACACCCTTTTTACAATAATTATTCACTTTTTTAGTCTGGCCATTTTATTCCAAAATTCACAACAGTGAACTGGGCATTGTGTCTCCCAGCAGCATGTACCGCGGAAGATGCACAAGTCGTGCTGGAACAAGCATTGAGCGAGTACAATTCTACCATAGGAATTAAATTCACTGTGGACGTTGATCCTAACATGTGTTACGTCAAACAGAAGTTACGAAGTTATTCGAAAGAAACGATTGGCGTTTTGTACGTATTCTTTTATCTGCTGTGTGTACGAGAATAATAATAATTTTGAAATTATTCATTCTGAAAGTTTCGAAAGATTCGAACTTTGAACATAAGCGTGCCGTTTGACTTCGGATCGGTTCGGCAAAAGTCGGACTCGCTCGGTTCTCGCTTCTCCCCGCTCCGAAGCCGAACGCCTCCGACTTCTGTCGAACCGAGCCGAAGTCAAACCGCGAAGATCAAACTTATGTGCTTAAATTCAATTGAAACTTTAATATATATCGCTTACAGATACTTTTATGCAATGGTGATTTGTCTGGTCATCGTAGCAACTGTGAGAGACTATTTAGTGATATCAGAAGGAAAAGGTAAATCCTCACAATAAATAACACTTTCGATACTTCAAACAATGTCTGAATTTCTTGTTTCAACAGGGAATTATTCAGAGAGAATAATAATGTCCTTTTCCTTACGAAGAACTATAAAATCTTTATTGAGAAAAGAATCGAACGAAACAGAAATCACGTGCATTCACGGGATAAGAACGCTCGTAACGATCATCCTTTATATTGCTCATCAACTTATACCGATTGCAAGGTTACCATTGTCTAATCGAATTGAACTTACGGAGGTATGTATAAAAACGATTATTTAATTGGTATAATTTAATTTTTAAATTCATTATTGAAACAGGTGGCGAATAATCCAATTAGCTCTATCTTAAGGGTGTCAATGGTTTATACCGACTCCTTTTTATTACTCAGCGGTGTTTTAACTGCTTACAATATGGCGCATGAATTTAAAGTGCGCGGTGAAATCCGCTGGTTTTGTCGCTTTATCGCAAGATATATTAGGTACGTACAAATCATTTTTTTAATAGGGGTGCGTGTTGCCTTACAGAAAATTTATTTTAATATCATGAATAAGTATTTGAAATTTAACACCCTGTGTATGAGACCCCCTTCGTTACATTGTCATTTTCCCCGGAGATGCCATTTTTCCTGGGAAAATCTGATTTAATCGCGAGCAATTAATTATTCTTTTATTTTTTTAGACTCACTCCAGCGTTACTAGCCGTGGTGTTTTGGTATGCGTTCGTAATGGAACACACGGGATCGGGACCACAATGGAACAGCATCATACTGCCAAACGCCGAGCTTTGTAAGAGCAACGCGTGGACGAATTTACTGTATATACAAAATTTCTTTCCTTTCGAAGAAATGGTATTTAAATCATTTCAAATTGTATAAGATACCCGAGATTTTTGCACTTAACCCGTTTCGTTATCAAAAATTATCATAGTGACTTTTTAAATAATAATAACTTCTTTAGAAAGTGTTGCAATTTTTTTTTAGAAAACAGTACACAATTTTTTCAACGCGTTGGTAACTAGTCATTAATAATTATTTATAATTATAATGCGAGTTAAGTTGCAGAAATTCTACTGCACATAAATATGCATTTTATTACGTCCTTACATGGTCTTCAAATTATTGAAGAAATTCAAGTTTTTATCTTTTTTTCAAATACATTTTTATGTTTGATCATTCTTAAAACGAATTTTATTTTTCAGTGTGCTACTCATACACATCAGTTGGCATTGGATATGCAACTGTCGTTGTTAGCCCCAATGTTGGTATTTTTCTTAGAATTTAAGCCGATAGTCGGAACTATTTTGATGTTCTTCTTCATCTTATTATCAGCCACGCTTCGTTATGTAGCGACGATGAATAATTATCTTTCTCTCGTGATTTTTCACGGAATGTCGTGAGTGTTATTCCAGTATCAATACAACACATTGATGGCCCCTTTAAAAATTAACAAAATCAATTAAAAATAATAAATATGTTAATTTCTTTAAGTAAGATTTGGGGTCTTCGAAGTGTTAATACATAAATAATTTTTTTCTATTATTCAATGATTTTAAGTATAATTTTTTAATTACAGGTTGAAGCATCTTTACAGAACCGCAAATTTAATTTATGCATTACCATTGCATAGAGCTACACCATACGTGTTTGGCGTAACTCTTGGTGTGCTGCTACGTAATACCGGAAAAGACGTCAGGATCCACAAAGTACGTAGGCATTTCCAGAAGTAATAGTAAAAATAATAATATGTTTAAAACAAAAAATATTACCTAATGAAATTTTCAATAGCTTCATTAAAAACAATGAGTATTTTATCCATAATTCAACGACCATGACCTAAACTTGCTGTACCAATTTCAGGTGTTGGTGATCTTGGGATGGTTAATCGCGATGGCCTTGGGATCGTGGTCGTTATTTTCACCCTGGCACTTGGCCAGGAGGGACTACGTGTACGATGCTGAAGAAGCAACCCATTACGCTGTAATCAGTCCAGTCGTGTGGGCTCTGGCTTTGTGTTGGCTCATATTTGCATGCTACACGAATCATGGAGGTCTCAATGAAATTCATTCCATTATCTCTATTAGGAAATTATTAGCATTACAAAAATAACATCTATGTCCCTAACACCTCTTTAAACTTTAAAAACTGTGATTTGTCACTACAGGTCCAATAAACAGATTCCTTTCGAGCCAGTGGTTGGTGATCTTCAGCAGAATATCGTACGCAGTCTATTTGACGCAATTCACAGTATTTTTCTACAAGGTTGGGACCACCAGATACTCCAGCGAGTTTCAACTTCATAGAGCCGTACGTTCTCCATCAAGAAACCCGTCAACCCTGACCCTAAAATACCTTTGTAAATTTCCAGTTCGACTCAGTGGAAGCAACCACGGTCGTAGCCGTATCGGTAGTCGTCACCCTGTTCTTCGACATCCCGATGCAAGAGATAAAGAACGTGGTAATGGAAAGTACCGACGTCCTGGCAACGGAAGTCTCCTCCAAAGATCCGTCCACTGTTCCAAATGAAGAGAAGAAGTCAGCGAAGCTGGCGACAGAGGAGAAGAAGGTGTTCGAAGAGGACGAGGTGTCCTCGACAGGGTGGGACTGGCAGAGAGACATAGTGGACGGTGGTGTAAAGTACAGCGCCGATGCGTTGGAAGACGAAGAGCGAGTGGACATGCCATTCCTGAAGAAACCAGTTGCCCGAAGGAGATCGTTCATAGGTCAGGATTCGTCAGGGCCGGAGGAGGGTATCCCAGCGTGGGAGTGGATCAAGGAATCGAACAAAAGATTATCCAGGGAAGAGGAGGAGGAGGAGTATCGAAGAAGAGGAAGACGTAGCAGAAGCAGTCAAAGGGATTATCAGGAGGAGGGAAGGGATGCGTTGGATCTTTCGAGGATGCAACAGGAGCGAGAAGAAGCTATCAAGCGAGGCAGACGCTCGCTCTCGAGGAGTCTCGACGCTAAGAGATTGTCAACACGTGAGAGCGAGGGAGATGAGGAGGGCGAGGAGGAGGAGGAGGAGGATCCAAGACGTTACAGAGGAAGATCCGAATCCAGAGGGAGATCCGTGATTAGGGAATCGGACGATTATCGTTCGTGGGAGTTGGTCGGTAAGGAACGTTCATCCTCGGCAGGTCCGGACTCTAAAAGGCTCTTCAGCAAATCGGAGGAACGCGAACCTGCGCAAAGACAAACAAGAGCCCATCCTCCGCACGGCAGGCGAACCTTCTCCTCGGAGAGCGAGGACGAGCTTTCCTCGCAGCGTAGGAAAATTGAGAAAAGACATCCACCGGCGGAGCCGAGGATAAGCGACGAGGAGGATTGGGAGGGCGAGCTGAGGATACGTAGGAAACAGTTTATGGAGAAGCTCGCGACGCAGCAGCGGACCGGCGACTACTACGACGAGGAAGATTTCGCTTCTCTGAGAAGGAGATCATCGGCGGAGGGGAAGATAGCCTTGCTGAAGGATCCTTCGGCGAACGACAACATGGATTCGTGGACGATCAGCGTGGGCTCGCGAGTGGCGCAGCTCGGTTCGTCCCAGGAACGAAGCGAGCCTGAAGAGGATATTTATACACGACGAAGGGAGTACCGCGAGAGTGCTCCACCACCCAGAGAGGACATCCAGAGCGAGGAAGACACTTGGGACGAGTCGCGAAGAATATCGTACACCAGCAGCAGTCAGATAACCTCGGTAGAAGAGGACGAGGACCTCTTCGTCCTGACTAAAGAAAGCAAGAGGATATCGGTGCAGGACCTGTCCAACCTGTCCCCGGACGACCCTGACTTGGCAGACTCAGGGTGGAACGTGGTGAAGAACGAGAACGAAGGTGCGCCCAAGTCTGGCTCCATGGGGCTGTTCAAAAGGGAGTCCATCGTAAAGAGCCAGGCCAGTGAGGAGGATCCGGAGTACCTCCTCCCGGAGAGGCCCAAGTTGGTCCAGCAGGAACGGGAGCATCCTTTCAAGAAAGCTTGGCAGATGCAGAAGTCCAGATCGGAGGAAGACGGTTCTGCCTATATTATTAAAGAGTCCAAGGAGGCGAAATTGAAGATGGAAGACACTCCAGAGCTGAAGAAAGTACACAGCGGGGAACAATACGAAGACATAGGCTCGTTCGCTGATGACGAATCCGAGTCTATCAGTTTAGCGCGTAGCAGAAGTACCGATACTGAAGAGAACACCAGGACCAGCTCGAAATCTGAAGAAACAGAGTCAACGGAGCGGAGCGACAGCACGAGCATCGAGGGTAACAAAGCTAATTCGAGATCATCGGACGTGGATGAGGACACTCTGAGATTTAATTGGCCGTCTGAGGAGGAACGGTTGGATGTTTATAAAACAGTAGCGAGGAGCAAATCGGAGGAGGTGGAGTGGAGCTGGGAACGGGAGCAGACTTGACGAGAAATAGATAATAAACGTAAATATAACGAGCTGAATTATTCGACGGGGAAAAAGAAATTGTTCGGGATCGTTGAGGATGACGCAGATCCTGGGAGAGACGACGATCGATACGTGTATTTGTATTGTCTTTTGAAATATACTGTCTGTTTAAAATAAACGTAGACACTGTTGTTTTAGTACTGTTTATTTAATCATTGAAAATGTTTATTAGTACTTATGCTGGTGATCGTTTAAAAAATTTTAAAATTCGTTAGAATTAAAGAAATTAATAATTTCTTCGAGAAAAGCTTAATAGGATATTTACGTTATCCTAAGGCACGTATCATGGCTTCATTATCCTTTTGTCGCGAACAACCCCGTCGTTCTCATTACAGTTGACAGGAGGCAGGATTAAGGAGCAGACTGACTTAAAGTACGTCATTAAAATTCAGTCGGAATTCTCGCGTTATTATCTTTGAATCGTAGGTCAAACGTCTTCGTTAACGTTAATTACCAGATCTCGTTAAAAAATTTGGAATTCCTTAGTAATCCATTCAAACGAATGCATTTTTAGAAAAAAGAAGATTTGCATTCAATTCTCTGAAAATTTTCATTCAATTAAAAGTACAGGGACAAGAAAAAAAAAATTGCAGTAGTAGTAATTAAAAAAGAAAAAAATTATTTAGATGATATTGTTCGTAATAATAACAATAATAATAATCCTGATACTAATAATGAACGACGGACGATGGTAGATTGGATGGACGAATATTAAACGCACCTTTGACACCGGACGACGCTGAATGAAATTACGTCTAAGAGAATTCTGGCGGTAAATATAGGAATAGCGGAGGATTTCGATAAGTGGTTCCGTTCCCTAGGCGTTCGTCAGGTATGAAGCCACAAAATGGCATAGCCATCGTGCAACTCGGACGTTCGAGGAATTTGAAACGGTCGAAACGCGGGCGGTACGACCTTCCACGGATCACTTGCCAGCAGTTTCGACTACCATGCTTCACGAGGCCGTGGCTGTAAGGGAAAGCTTGGAACGAGACCTTTGAGATTCTAGAATCCAGGGCTCTCCTGATGCTATGACCCTTCATAAGCCAGGAATGCGTTCGCGGTTCCGGTTCAGGTGTTCCGAATCTTTGACTGACGACGACCAACAATCTCGTACTTCAAACTTTTCTATTAAATCAAACCCGATCATTTATTATAGTAGACTCTCGTTATATTGCCAACCGAGCGATCCATCTCATCTGTGGCAATATAACGAGAGTCTACTGTACCGTTATAATTCTACCTATTCGATAAGAGAATATAGACGTATATACTTGTTCAAATATTTTCAACACGTGCAATCTTATCAACAGCATTATGCAGGTATGTGAATTTAATAGAAACACGAGTGTCAAAGAAAAATCCGAGTAAAAAAGAACAGAAAATATTCGAGAGGAGGCTGTTATTGGGCGGCACGTATACGGAGGCGTACGTGTCGCTTCGTTTCTATTTATTTTATCGACGAGCGAAATCGTCGCCATCCCCGGGACGATTTTCTCACCCCTTCGCTTTGCGTTCTTTTCTTCCTCTGAAAACGTTCACCGACGGAATCGGGTCCGTTTCGTGGACCACCGAACGTGATCTCCGGTCCATCGCCTCGTTAGTAGGCTGCTTATCCGTTTTTCCTTCATTGTCGTTGATTTCAGAGATTTCGTTTGTTGCATTTCTTCCCTACACGGTGTCCCAAAAGCAATCGTCATTCGAAGTAGTTGAAAATGTTATAAAAAAAATGGTACTATTCGATTTTAATTTTTCATCGATGAAGATTTTTAATTTTGAAATTTTAAGAATTATTTTTGAAACATCTTGTACATGGCGCGAATACTAGTCAGTCTTCATTCCATTCTTCAGAACGTGTCCGGATTGCGGACGTCGATGATTTCCACGATGCGTTCCACAATGCGTTTCTTTCTCCCTAAAATGCGTTTTTGTAGCGTGTTTCCAGAGGCTGTTGGAAGAGGTGCTGGATGCAGTTGCCAAAATAAATAACCCGACCAGTATAAACCCAGGGCACGCGTTGTCTTACTCCTACCGTGTATCTGTTCACCTTCTGTGCCGGTTTTAGCCACTCAAAGTGTTTGCTTTAGTCCGACACGTATGGTTCTGCGGTCTTAGGTACAAACTGTACGCCTTGCACATCTTAAATGGCGGGAAGAGCATGTTGTGTTTGGTTAAGACCTGCATTTTTTGATTCTACATATTGAAAACTATTAAATAGCAAACAAAAAAGTTAATAATTTGATGTCCTTCAAAGCAAAGTTCAGCCTTGCGATTCTTCAAGAAATTCTTCATTTTCTCGAATACTTTGACAATTTTAAACATTTTCTGTAATTTATTCGTTGAATGGGGGGATAGGGGAAGGTGGTAAGGTACGTCTGACGAAAAGGACCCTCCAGAAACGTCTAATGCCATAGTGGCATTTGCATACTTGGGTATTCATGCAAGGAAAGCTTTCGTCAGCGCATTACACGATCCGGGATTGTTGTGAGAATACGGGAACGTTGAAGAGACGGTAGATATACTTGTTAGTGTAAGTTCCTGTGTCGAGTACTTGAAACTATGTGTATGATGTACCCTATGGTGTTAAACCAGTGCGTGAGATATCTGGAAATTGGAAGACAATCTCACGTGTCTGAATTCATGACATAAAAGTATTTCGAAATGGCACTTGCGGCATATCAATTTAAAGCTTAAAGTTTACTGAAAATGGTTGACTAATATTTGTAACACAAAATGGCTGATAATAAGTTAAAGCAAATAATGAGATGAATTTGGAAATATAATTTCATGACATAAAAGAAGTACAAAATGGCTAATAATGAATAGAATAGATGTTGAAGTTGCAACACAATTCGCTACGAGCTTATAAAATACTGTGCTGTGCGTTTTCCAAGTCGTAGTAAGTTTCAATTTGTCGGGCGACGACAAACACTCGCTGGGAGGTCTGCTACTCAATTTCCGGCAGGGTAATTTCCCGTAGCGAACAGAGCTAAACACGAGGCATCTTCTTATCTAGAAAATGGAGACGCTTTTGACATCGGCTCATCTACTCGAGCCAATATTATCAATTTGATTCGTCCACCCTGATAATGAAATATTTTCATTTTTTTTTTCCTTCTCCCCTTAGATCCTTTGTAACTCTCGCCCTGATGGCGACTTGGGATAATTGCTACGATTATTTACAAGATTTTCCTCCCCCGACCAGATTAAAGCGCGACGAGATACTTGTTCCACTTTGAAGAATTTCTCTTCTTTCATCTTCATTCCGTTTATCGTCTTCTCGCCTGCCTGTTCGACCCTCTTGCACTCGATTCCACCCCTCTCGTTCTCTCCTTCCTAGCCTAATCCGATTACGATGGAACGAGGTGTCCGTTCGGCTGTAACTCCGCGATAATGGATATTGCTATTCAAAGTATTTCTCGCGTTAAATGACGTTCTCCCCGAGCTCGACCAAACGAAAGATTTTGCGGTTCGATGCGAACCTTCATTTTTCTTAACCATCGGATCATTTATTAAGAAACGATCACTCTCGCGATTGGAGTCGATTCTGACTGTGAAATTTCAAACATTCATGAATTTATTAGACTTTGAGCTTTAAATTTATGTGCCACAAGAGATATTTTCAAATACTTTTATGTCATGAAATCCAGTCAGACGTAACAATTTAATATTTATCATATCTCTGATGTTTGAAATAAATTCATTTTCCACTCTCCTCGAAATAAATAAATAACACCTTACCATTACAGAGTTTTAACCCATCCGAGGGAAAAATTAGTGGATCCCAAGAGAACATCGATTCATCGAGACGGGCGAAGAGGTCGATGCCTTTCGGCGGCAATGACCCGCGAAATTGCTTTACGCAATCGGCCATTATGCGTCTGAAAATTTTGCAGGGCTCGTCGTTTGATGTGATACGAATATTATATATTATTCATTGTCGGCCACGTATCGCTGCGCCGATCGCGCAATTATCGATGTCATTTTGCCATCACGCATCCGTACACCGATAAACAAACGCCTCGAAAAAAGAACAATTTCAACGATCTGAAGTTACAGAAAGAGAAAGGAAGTTAGAGTGTAACGGAATGGTCGGATCGAAAGGGGGCGAGTACCTTTTAGGAGCTTAGAGATTACACTTGGGACGAGCTACTAGTAATGCTACTAGCAACCCGCTCATTCCCACGAAGGATTCGACAGAACTTATAATACCTGCGATGTGGGATCGGTTGCGGCACGCTTATGCTACCTACTGTCACGTCCTTAGACATCTCCTCCCTGCGCCCTTTACGCATTCATAATTCAATGTCAAATACCACTTATCCTACTCTTGGGTCCTTCAACATCATTTATTCTACTCCTTTTTGCGATACTCAGAGAATTTCCCTGTTTCGTCAGCATTCTTCTGCGGCGTTCAAACAACTTAGTTATCTGTATTTTCAGAATTTTAGAATTTTAGGTTTTTGGAATTTTAGATTTTGAATCTTGGAGTTTTAGAGTTTGAAATTGTTGGAGAGAAGCAGGCCCACCCTAGTTTCAATCTAGTTAAATCAATGTTTGTCCAAATGTTTGTTCTTACACCATAATAGGTCTGGTGATCTATTAGGAAGATGGAGGTGCTTTCTTTGTAACGACTAAAGTGCTTTGTAAAGTAAAACAGCATACAGAGCGGTTGGTCGAATAGCCTGGCAACTCGTGCAACAAGTCACGAAGGTAGCTGATGTTTTCTTTGTAACTAAACCGGAGAAGACAGAAGACAAAAGGCCTAATTACTTCGCAACGCTATTATCCGGATTAAAGGCGGGTAGGTGTCTATTGAAGGGAGTACACAACTCAATGGAAAAATGCCTTCAATAGGAAATCGAAGAGCCGAATCGCGGAATATCGATTGGAGCTTGGAAAATGGAGTGCTTTAAAGCTTTTTTTTCCTACCATCGCTGGGTAGACTGATTGTGAGTAATTGCTCCAAGTTTCTTTAGTCTGTTTCCATCGAAGATGATGATCACTGTATTATGTTGTATTTCGTAATTCTTAATTGGTTGATTCATTGTTCCAAATAAAAATTAGCCATTTTTATTAAAAATTTTTGTTAAATTTTAATCTTTACGTTAGTATATCGTGTCGTTTTATGGTACTT